TTTTGGCCAGCAGGCAATCCCAAGTCTTCTCCTGGTCCTTGGAGAACATCAGGCTTAGAAGCAGGATTTGCCATTAGCTGTTGAGTGCAAGAGGCCCAAAGATTTTTTTCTTGTGAGGGGAAGAACATCTTCCCTGGCTTGAAGTGTATGCTGATTGATTCCCTGAGAACGAAGGCCTTTTATGCTTTTGTGTGGGTGCTTTGCAACCCAGAGGAAGCCTGAAAACGTAGGTCATTGTCTTCCAAGTGGACACACATAGGATGCTGCAGAGGCTGGGTTGCCTCTATATTAGAAGCTCTGTATTTTTTTAAAATGCCATGGTCTCAGGTCTGTAAAGGCACTTGGGAGCAAAGATCATGGTCTGGAATTTTAAACTGAATATATAAGCTAAAATTTTAAAGCTGTTGTAATCTGGAAGCATATACATACATAACATTTAAATTTACATGTGTGAGCTTACTAGGCAAGACAGAGTGGAAGGACGGGGGGGGGGGGGGGGGGGGGGGCGGATTTATTGTCAATAGGAAAGGCGGGGCAGGGCCAAGACCAGGGGAAACAGGTGGAAAAAGGCAGGGCCCAGCAGGGGCCAGGCTCAGCTGTGCTCCAGGAACTTGGGCTGTGCCTGTTACTGATGGAAAAGTGCGGCTCAACAAAGTGCCACTTTGGGGCCAAGTGTCCCTCCGCAAACTGGCTGCGCCGCATTTGGGTAAGTGTGCTCTTGGAAATGGCAGCCCCGCATCTTTGTTGGGATTTTGTTGCTTTTATGGGCATAGTGCCCCATGCAGCTTTGGGCACAGCGGGTGCACAGTGGTGGAGCGCCCTGAGGTCACAGAGGGGCTGAAGTCTGGGTGGGACAAAGAGCGGCAGTGCCAATGAAAACAGAGAGACAGAAGCAGGGGCGGGACAATGCATGTAATCGCTAATGAAAAGAGAGAAAACAGCAGAAGAGGCTGGACGAGAGCACCGTACTTGAAAAACAATGCAGGCTTGGAGTTTAATTCGCTTTAAGTTAGATTGTTACAATTAAAAAAAAAGTTGTAAGTGCCCGATTAAAGGCATTTGAAATCGGCTAGGAAACGTAAAAAACCCACTTTAAAAGCATGCCTCTGACATGGGCCCATCGCAGTACGTACACTGGAGAGGCGGCCCTGAGTCAGTCGAAATATATACCTCTAATCTATATGGGGTACATGAGAAAGTGGGAGGGAATGTCTTCCGGCACCCAAATCCCATCTCAGCAGAGAGCCCTGCTTTTGCCTTTGCCGCTGCCGGTCACGGCCATGACTTCAAAAAAAGCCTGAAAAAATGAATGGGTCTCCCTGAAGCCCCACTCTCACGCAGTTTAAAAGGGAAACTGACCAAGTGAAGCCGAACTTGTCTGGTGGAGCATGTGTGCAGGAAGGCCAGATATCCAGTGTGACCTCAGACCCCAGGCCCTGGAGCCTGGACCCTGCAGGAAAAAACTAAGGCCCCTTGGTGGGACTTGTGGCGGGATTCCATATGGTAAGAATAAGAGCAGCTCCACCGGTGCAAGAAATCCAATTAGGTTAAATCAAACCAAATTAAAATGCCCATTGTTTTATTAAAGATGACACTCTCAGGTGGCCGAGCGCATGGTGGGGAGACAGGACAGGAGGGAGCCCTTGCAGTCCCCAAAACCATGTATTCTTCCTCTAGGACGCTCCTTAAATACCCCGTGGGACAGGTCAGGACCCCAAGGGGGGTCAGGGCCTGGCATGCTGGGACTTGGAGTCCAGAGCAAAGCAATTCCCAGGCCAGGGGCTGGGTCTATGCTCTCAACTTAACACCAACCACCCTAATCAGTGACAAATATCCATAACCCACTTAATAACCAAAAACCACTCACCCCACATTACTTCCTGCAGTCTGGGGGTGATGGCATATTTAGAGGATCCTGAGAAGACTAATTTGTGTTATTAGTCAAGTCCTGGGAGTGGTAGCTGTATCATTTCTTGTCCAGTCTCTGCATAAGGAAAAATGCAGGGCATATCTTAAGTTCTGCTAATTGATGTAGTTTCACTTTTCCTTTTAAAATCAACTCAGAGGGCTGGAGAGATGGCTCAGTGGTTAAGAGCCTGCTCTTACAAAGGTCATGAGTTCAATCCCCAGCAACCACATGATGGCTCACAACCATCTGTAATGAGGTCTGGTGCCCTCTTCTGGCCTGGAGACATACACAGATAGACTATTGTATACATAATAAATAAATATTTTTTTAAAAAAAAATACTGCCCATACACTTATATTCTTGTTCAAGGTAGTTTACCAAATACAACTCACTTAAAAATGGAATGAGAATTTCTAGTCCTTGAACATTATTATTACCAACTAATTCGGACATAAAGAAATGCATGTTAATAATTGGTTATCTATTACAATTGAAATTATACTCATGTTAGGTATGCTTCAAAGGTCATACAGAATTTTATGAGCTGATTCAAATGTGCATACTTTAGAGAAAATGATTGACAAAGTAGGAAATTTTGCCTCATTGGGGATTACAGGTTACTTCTAAAAAACATACAAAGAGGAAATTCTATTAATAACCTAGGATATAAATTACTTCTATAAAAATTTGAGCCCAAGAGTTACAAATTCGGAGAAATTAATTGCAGACTCATACTGACTTTCAGAAATTGCTGGAAGACATTGCCCATTTACAGCCCATTCTTGGAGTAAAAAATTGAAAACTTAGTAATTTGGTCCAAACTTTAAAAGGTGGCAAAGATTTAAACAGTCCAAAGAATTATCAGCTAAAGCAGACAGAATATTGGTCTGTTGTAAAAGAAATTACGGGAGGCAAATGTGGATTATTTGGATCCGAAGCTTGACATATTCTAGAAATTTTAAGTTCTATGTATTCCTCTATAGCAATTTTAATGCAGAGAAAAGATATTCTCTTAAAACAGTTACTTTTACCATATAAACAGATTAAAAATACTAAAATGTCAAGCCGGGCGGTGGTGGCGCACGCCTTTAATCCCAGCACTCGGGAGGCAGAGGCAGGCGGATCTCTGTGAGTTCGAGACCAGCCTGGTCTACAGAGCTAGTTCCAGGACAGGCTCCAAAGCCACAGCGAAACCCTGTCTCGAAAAACCAAAAAAAAAAAAATAAATAAATAAATAAAAATAAAAATACTAAAATGTCATGTGGAAATAAATCTCTGAGTTGATTTTAAGAAGAAAAGTGAAACCTACATAACTTAGTCAATTAAAGGCAGATGGGAAATCAAACAGAGATAAAGAAAATTGATTGAGCCAAAGAGATATGTAGCCACTGAAGGAGAAAGATGCCAGAACATTACCAGTAAGTCACAGCCTTGCGACAATACATATATTAATAGAAATGGGTTTATTTAAGATGTAAGGGCTAATGAGGAATATGCCTGAGCCATTGATTATAGAGTAATGTAATTAATATAGTTTCTTTTTTTTTAATTTAATTTTATTATTTCTTAAGGTTATTTATTTATTTATTTATTATGTATTCAGTGTTCTGCCTGCATGTATGCCTGCAGGCCATTACAGATGGTTATGAGCCACCATGTGGTTGCTGGGAATTGAACTCAGGACCTTTGGAAGAGCAGGCAAAGCTCTTAACCACTGAGCCATCTCTCCAGCCCCAATTAATATAGTTTCTGTGTGACACATTGGGTCTTGGCAGTTGAGAAATGAAAACAGAGTCTCCATTTACACTAAGCAAATGGGCCTGTGAAGGATAAGAAAAAAAGAATCTTGATCCACCAACTAATGGAAACAGAGGCAGAGATGCACATTGGAGCACTGGATTGAGCTCCCAAAGATCAGTTGAAGAGTGGGAGGAATGAGAATGTGAGCAAAGAGGTTAAGACCTTGATGGGTTCACCCACTGAAACAGTTTACGTAAGCTAATGGGAGCTCACCAACTCCAGCTGGACTGGGAAGGAACAAGCATAGAACCAAACTAGTCCCTCGTATTGTGGTTGACAGTTGCATGGCTGGGGAAGAATGAGGGGCCACTGGCAGTGGCACCAGGATTTAACCCTACTGTGTATACTGGGTTTTTGGAAACCTTTTATCTTTGGATGGATACCTTGCTCAGCCTAGATTAGTAGGGAGGGCCTTCGACTTCACCCTCTCTGAGGATTGGATGGGCTGGCGTGGAAGGGTATATGGAGGGAATAGGAGGAGGGGAGGGAGTGGGAACTTGAATTCGTATGTATAATGAAAAAAAGATATCTTGTTTTCTTTTTTAAAAAAGAAAGAAAGCCAGAAATAAAGAAAAACAAAAGAACCACAAAGAAAATAAAACACTTAACCCCTCTCCCAAAATGAAAGAAAATGAAAAAATATAGCTTAGGACCAGTGACTAAGCAAGAGCAAAAGTCAGTAAACAATGTTTCTCTGTGGTTTTTGACTTTCATTCCTAGCTTGAGTTTCAAACCTAAGGTCACACAATTGTGGGTTGTGATCTGGCAATATCAGTAAAATAAACCTGTTCATTACTTGAGATGATTTTAGTTAGAGAGAGAATTTAATAACAGCAGGAAACAGGCAAGTCAGAACAACAGGTGATATACAAGAACAGTTTATTATTGCTGGGTAGAACATGGGAACGTTGTCTTTTGAAGGAAAGGGAACGATATTAGGACTTTAGATGGCAAAAGCCATAGAAGGTGCAGCCAGAGCTTCATTAGCTATTGTTGTAAGACCAGGAACGTGCGAGGATTGAAAGCAATGAGCTCATAGGATGTAAGTTGGAAATAGAATCCATGAATAAATTAGAGGTCATTTGTATAATATTTTGTCCCCATATCATTCCTATTTTATCTATTCCCTGAGAAACTGAGTAAGGCACTATTACAAAAATAATTGGCTGATTCTTGGAAAAGGATTTATTATGTTGGGTGATTATCACTGTTGACTTATTTAGGCCAGCAGTGAAAAAGAAGCAAGTGGGGCAGAAAGAAATGAAGATCCAGTTTAATAGAGAAAACCAGCATGAGGCAGTTTAAAGGGCACTGCTGTGATGAAGAAGAGGGAGAACATTTCGTGAAGTTTAGCACCATTAAAGAGAAGGCCTTTCTTAGCATTCGAAGCCTAGGAAGGTAACCTAAGGGTAAGACTCCATTCATCTAAGCCTTCAATTTGTGTAGGCATAGGCAACCTGATTCCTAATTCAAAGAAGCAACGCCATACAGAACCTTCTGTAATTCTGATCTATTGTGGTCTTTGGGGAACAAGCTCCAAGACTGTACTAGGGTTTGAAAATAATAATAATAATAGTTATTATTATTAAAATCCACGAATGTTGGTTAGGACTAAACATTTCTATCTGCTGGGTAGAAAAGGAGCACACATGTTCTATTGGTAGCTTTCTCATTCCTGCATCATGAACTCTCTGTCCTCATTTTCCATACAGTTATACATATTCCCAACAGAAAGCTCTTATTTACACTGCATGGCCAGATAGACTGTGAGTGAGTAACCATGGCAACACGCTGCTGTGAGCCAGGCTCTGGTGCTGTGCAGGTGTGGTGCTCTGGTGCCTTGGTGTGGGGAGTTATGTTTTCATGTTATCAGCCTGACTTTTCGCAAGTGAGGAACTGGCACCAAACTTGCTTTATGCTGGGTCTTGGCTCAACTATCACACCTGTGGGTTTTGTCCTTGTGCGTTTCATTGTAGTGACAGTTAGTCTACTGTGATTTTGCATTGAGGTCTAAAATATGTGAATTGTTTGTAGCAGCCTGGAATTGGGAGACATCGCCATTCTCCTATGTTATCCTGAGTCATTGATAGAAATCAGGACCTAGGTGCATTGCAGTCTTTGTGGAAGACTAGATCTAGTTATGAAGCATATCCCTGTATATTTTCCATTGATGGAAAGTAGATACTTTAGTGAGGATTCATCTTTTGATTGTTCACAGTAAATGCCCACGAGATTGAGATGTAATCTTGAGATTACATGTGCAGTTTATATGAAAATCCCTGGTAATGGCGTGATTCCACAGCTGTTTTACACATGTAAATTCCAGAGAGAAGCATACAGTGTGTTGAGTCTATGGCATCATAAGCCTTCCTTGAAACAAGGTTCCTCCATTAGAGAATTATTCATCTGGTGGGTGACTTCTAAACTCTAATTGCCATCCGCTGCAACTCTGATAGAGCTATTGCTACCAGCATCTATCAGCATTGGTTCAAGTGTAGTAGTGTCCATCACAAGTTAGAAGCCAAATTTGGGGGGGGGGGAATAATACGTGTTGTACTTGTAGTGGAAATGAAAATTATGCAGAATCTATAAGTCATAGAATCTTCTTCTGTGGTTTCAGTTCAGCACTGTTGCACCAATCTGCTTTGCGGAGTCAGAAACTTGTTGCAGATTCTGTGAGATTTCACTGTATGCATCTGTGAAGATGAAGACACAGTTGTATGTTGAGATGACAGGATGTTGAGATAACCAAGCTGTGAGACATATGCCCTGGAGAGCTGCATACAGGGAGGACAACCAGCAAAAGAGGGACATCTATAAAAGTTTACAGGAATAGAACTATGTAGACCCTTTGGGAATGAAGTCCTAACAGCCTGAGACACACCTACATGATTCATTGTTTACCCTGATAAGTTTTAGTCTTACCTTGGTCAAATCTTCCCTATGCTAATATTCCTTGCTTTCTTTCATTTTTTGTTTATTCTTCTTTCATACTATACAATGAGTCAATACACCCAGTTTCTCCATCTTATTTTTCCTTTTAGTAGTTAGTATTTCTTCATTCAATTTTCTTGTGTACTGTGTACTGCTGCTCTGCTTCCTTGTCTCTCTCTGTTAATAGACATTTCTCTTGTAAGGTGATATCTCATTCAAAGGATACAAAATCATAGAGTCCTGGACACAATTAGCTATTAGTGTAGGACCAGTAAAAATGAAATAGGTGTTAGGAGTAATGGCAGAAATTGGGGATAGAGATAATAGGATTTCAGTTGGAAATAAATAAACTGCAGAAAAAAAAATGAATCCTGAGGTCATTTGTGTGATATTTTGGCTCAAATCTTTCTTCCTCTGCCTATGCTCTGGAAATTTAGTAAGACAGAATTAAAAAATAATGAGCTAATATCTTAAATGGAACATTGAATCTGTTCATGGTTATCACTGATGGCTTATTCAGGTGCACAGTGGAAAAAACAAGTGAGCAAAAATTAATAAAAATGAGAAGGTAGTTTCAGACAGCAGTCATGTGTTGAGATAGGCAGGGATTTTCAAGGTGTTTATCACCATTATAGAGAAGGCCCACGCTATGGAATGGAAGCTTATCAAGGTGCCCTAGGGGTAAGACTCTGGCCACAGAAACCTTCAATTTAGGGAAGGTGTGAGCAAAGTGATTCATAGTCTCAGGAAGCTACTTCTTTCTAAACCTTCTACACCTGTGGTCCAAGCTCGTTAGTGTCCTTCACAATTAAGAAATCACACTTTTTGGCATCACCCCTATGTGTTGCTCTTGGAAACAAGAAAGAATCAAAATTTAAGATCATGGATTTTTAGTTTATGGTTAACGATTATCATCTATGTTTGGCAGAGTTAGAAGCCCAGAGAGGAGACAGTGAGAGATCATTGCATGAAGCTATGAGGATTGAAGCCCGGCGTTGTTGGTTACTTCTTTTACTCTTTTCTCTATTGAGGGCCTGCCACCCAGTTCTCAAATAAATCTCACACGTGGAGACTTATTTTTCCTTATAAATGTCTGACCTTGGCTTGTTTTGGCTTCTTTCAAGGCAGGTTGTTTTTAACTCAATTGTTCTCTCTACCTTTTCACTCTGGCCTTCATCTTTCTCTATTCTGTATTCCCTTCTTTATTTCTACTCCATGGCTTCTGTGTACCTAGGTGAATGTCTCCTGTTGTCCTCTCCTTTTCTTGACTCTTCTTCCCCGTTTCCTCCCAGAGTTCTCCTCCCCTTTTATTCTCTTTGACTGGAAGCCTTCCCTATGCTTTCTTGCCATGCTATTGATCATTCAGCTCTTTTCCATATTAACCAGGTATTTTAGATTAGGCAAAGTATCACAACTTCACAGAGCTAACCCAATGCAGCATAAAAAACTGCAGCACTTCTTTGCATCATTAAATCAAAAGTTCTACAGCATAAACAAGTACTACACAATTAGAAATGTTATTTCACAACACACTGGGTTTTGATTTTGAGCTCAAAGATGTTTGGATACCTAAGTTATGATACAACTTCCATGGAGACCTAGCTGCTCATAATGAGTGGAATTTACCATAGAGAGAAATGCAGAAGTTTTAATTGTTTTGTTTGCTTGTCTGAGTAACCTCTGATGTGTGGCTCCAAATTCCTCAAAGTAAAATGAGGGGGGCTTCATTCACAGCTTTATTTGTTTTTATGTCATTGGGTGATGACCCTGGAATGTAGGCTTTTTACATGTCAAGCATATGCTGCTGTGCCCAGCTTCACACATATCTTGAATTTTAAATTTGACAGAGGGTTTCATTCTGATTCCCAGGATGCCATGTATTCATGGCATTAATACTGCCTGAGCAATCTGAGTCATTGAATTGCAGGTGCATAAATGTCTTCCTGCTTGTTATGCTTGCTTTGAATATTTTTTACTCAATATGAGTATTTTATGTGTCTGCATGGATATGCAACATATGGGTACCTAGTCTTCAGAGTGATCAAAGCATCTCAAAAATCCTGAACTTGAAATAATTAATAATTGCAATCCCCATGTAAGTACTGGCAATTTTGCCCACCTCTTTTCAAGACCAGGAAGAGCTCAGTTGTACTCAGCCATATTTCCAGACCTGTGTTAATTAGTTGTGCCCAACATTTATATTGCTAATGTTTTCATCTGTCCATTTATAATTATTTTAAACATAAAGTACCATTTCATAAAATGTTTGGTATTGCAGTTTAAAATAGGACACTTCAGCTGTCTGGAGTATGAACACAGAACTAGAGTGAATGTATAATTCTTTGTAGGAACTTCAGTAGATATCTCTGAATTCTTTCTATCTGCTTTGTTTGGTTCGCTATTTTTTTTTTTTTTTGTTTTGTTTTTTGAGACAGGGTTTCTCTGTGGTTTTGGAGCCTGTCCTGGAACTAGCTCTTGTAGACCAGGCTGGTCTCGAACTCTGGTTCACTAATTTTTGCAATGGAGTTAGGGTCTTAATGTGTACTTCCGCCTGTCCTGGACATGATTCCATAGGCATGGCCAGCATTCAACTCAGAGACAAATATACATACCTCTGCTTTCTGAGTGCTTAAAGGCATGAGTCAGTATACCCAGTTTGTCCGCTGTATTTTTCTTCTTTGTGATTAGTATTTCTTCATATAATTTTCTCATGTGTACTATGTCCTGTTGATCTATTTTCTTGGCTTTATCTATTAATAGACAGTTCTTTTGTAATGTGATACCCCATTCAAAGGGTACAAAAATGACAGACTTGCCTCTCCTATTTAATTTCCTTCTAAAGTGACTGTCTGTGTCATGGAATAATAGCCGGGAACACCAGAATTTTATGACTATACAGTCAAAGATGTATACATTTACAATGTTGTCACCATCATGCTTTCTGTTATACACATGAATGAAATATTTTAGAGGGCAGTAACCTATGATGATGTGCATATCAACTTCTCTCGGGAGGAGTGGAATTTGCTGGATGCTTCCCAGAAGAATCTCTACAAAGATGTGATGCTGGAGACCTACAGGAACCTCGTTACTATAGGTAAAAGTAAACTTCCTTCATGTTTCAAAATAAGGGGACAACTTTTTCTTGATTAATGTTATTCTTCTCTAATTTGATGTAGAAAGAATAAGAATGAGTTAAATAAAGCAGTTATAGTTCTAAGGTTCCCTTAAGATAACAGCTTAAATAGTATACAATTTTCAATAACTTAACATACATTTTCTGGTATTATATTTTAGGATGCATTTGGGAAGACCATAATACTGAAGAACATTGTCCATGTTCTAGAAGTCATGAAAGGTAATTTTCATTTGCAAGCTGATAACAATGTGCCTCTCATGAAACTGTTATGTGTCCTGAAAGTTTTAGTCAAAATCAGCAGTGTAAATAATTACAGTTTTAGGTGAACTGGTGGTTATTAAATTCTCACGAATCCATATTTCATATATGTAAGTTGCATTTGAATGACATTCTCTTAAGAAAGAAGTCAGGAAAGCAATGCCTAAACAGATACCACCTTTTGAGCCATAGCACCATGAGAGCTTTTTTGTAGACCTGCAAAGACACTTTTTTCTTGCTACTTATATTACAAAATGTATACACATTGATGATATATCTGCAAAACTTTGTATTAAACCAATAACCCATAGTAAATCTTGTATTACTCATACACTTCTTGTGACTGTGATAAGTTTAGTGAAAGAAGCAGTTAGAGTTGAGTCAAGTGGCAGTTGTTCTACAGAAACCTTGTTATTATACCACAAGTCTGTGAGAAGCAGCAAGTCAAACCTTGAGAATTCAATTTGTAATTCTTTTATTTGTTATTCTTCTTTACTATGTATACCATACATTACACTTAAAACAAGTGTATGAGTATGGGGATATAGAGAGATATAGCATACCACTCTCTAAGAACAATTAGATAACCAGTAGTCTCCAAGTTGAGTATACTTGTTGAATTGGATTCAAGTATACCAGTAATTGGTTTTCCACCATCATTGTTAATTCATGAACAAAATCACACTGCAAAAAGCCATATGAGTTCTAGAACTGTGCAAATACTTCTGGGTGTCCTAGTTCACATAGCAAATGTAATATGGTTCACAGTATAGGAGAATTCATGAATGTTAAAGCTCTGAGTTTATCCAGTTCTCTTTACATATGTATAAAATATCATATAGAAAAGTTTCTGTGAGCCGGGTGGTGGTGGCATACGCCTTTAATCCCAGTACTCGGGAGGCAGAGGCAGGTGGATTTCTGTGAGTTCGAGACCAGCCTCGTCTACAAGAGCTAGTTCCAGGACAGGATCCAAAGCCACAGAGAAACCCTGTCTCGAAAAACCAAAAAAAGAAAAAAAAGAAAAAAAAAGAAAAGAAAAGTGTCTGTGACTATAAAAAGGTAAGCCATAAAAGAAAGGAATTGACCATTGGAGGTATCTTCCAATTTGCAAAACAGTGCCTGATTAAAAAGCAAAACATGAGTTTAGACACAGTTATAAAAACTTAGTATCTGATTCCCCTTTATAGTTGGAACATATTATAAAATTAATTCATACAGACACAACAGTGTATTGAATGTGATAAAGCTTTTTTATTTGCCTATTATCCTTGCAGCATTGAAAGAATTCAAACTGGAGAGAAACTTTCAGTATATATTCAGCGTGGTAAACCCTTGACATATGACAGTCACCTTAAATGGAATGAAAGAAGACATACTGAAGAGAAACCTTATGAATGTAATCAGTGTGGTAAGGCCTTTGCATATCACAGTCATCTTCAAGTGCATGAAAGAACACATACTGGAGAGAAACCCTATGAATGTAATCAGTGTGGCAAGGCCTTTGCAACTCAGAGTAGTCTTCAAAAACATAAAAGAACACACACTGGAGAGAAACCCTATGAATGTAATCAGTGTGGTAAGGCCTTTGCAACTCACAGTAGTCTTCAAAACCATAAAAGAACACATACCGGAGAGAAACCCTACGGATGTAATCAGTGTGGTAAGGCCTTTGCAACTCACAGTAGTCTTCAAAACCATAAAAGAACACATACTGGAGAGAAACCATATGAATGTAATCAGTGTGGAAAGGCCTTTGCACAGTCCAGTGGTCTTCAAAAGCATAAAAGAACACATACTGGAGAAAAACCCTATGAATGTAATCAGTGTGGTACGGCATTTGCACAACACAGTAATCTTCAAAAGCATAAAAGAACACATAGTGGAGAGAAACCCTATGGATGTAATCAGTGTGGTAAGGCCTTTGCACGGTACAATGTTCTTCAATGCCATGAAAGAACACATACTGGAGAGAAACCCTATGAATGCAATCAGTGTGGTAAGGCCTTTGCAACTCTCAGTAGTCTTCAAAACCATAAAAGAACACATACTGGAGAAAAACCCTATAAATGTAATGAGTGTGGTATGGTATTTGCAGCTCACAGGACTCTTAAAAGGCATAAAAGAACACATATTGGAGAGAAACAGAATGAATGAGATCAGTGTAATAAAGGCTTTTTGTGTTTTATCCATCGTCAAATGCATAAAAGTACACATACAGGAGAGAAACCATGAATGGAATCTGTGTGGTCAATCCTTTGTCACAATAATCTCCAAATACATTAAATAAACCATCCTGGAGAGAAATTAGGAATTTAATGAGTGTAGTCTTCAAAAACATGAAAAAACATCCTGCAGTGAAACTCTATAAATAACTTCAGTGTAGTAATGTTTTATACTTTATACTGGAGTAAAACTTTTTGTGTGTAATCAATCTGCAAAGGCTTTTGCAAATTACAGTAGCCTTTGGGTACCTGAAGAGAAACCTGAGGGCTTATTCTAAATTATTTTTCAAGATTCTAAGCCAATACACTTACAGTCAGCTAACTAACAGCATTCATTGTGTAGAAAAAAATTTGATAGTGTCAATAATTTGTTCAATATGATACCACTTTATTTTGTTTGCACCAGGAAACTAATGTACAAACATAATTCTTGAATTTATGAAGTTTTATGGGTAGGAGGAAGTCCCAGTCAAAGAATCATACCCTGTTACTGAAATGAGATCCAAAGGAAAACACTTTGTCCCTGAGTCTAGAAGTAGTTATAAAAACAACATCACCCTGAAAACTGAGTCAAATGTTAAAAGGGTTCAGTGAAGGAAACACACTTTGGCTCTCAAAGCAGAGCCAAAGAAACACACTCTTCCCTTGTTCAACTGAGCACAAAACCAACGAATCCCTGAGCACAAAATCTAGCCCATGTCTCGGCTTGTTCAAGCTCAGGGATTGAAATCTGATCAATTTCCAGCTTCAAAATCTCCTTAGAAGAGATCTGGTTTTAAGAAGCCTGTATGTGCCATATGCTCATTCAATTGGCAGCTGCCCCTTTCCACCCTGGCAGAGGCAGTCACTCTCTTCCCTCCCAAATAAATCTCTTGACTAAGATTTCTGTGAAGATCCTCTTTCACTGAAATGGATCAGAAACTCCCTAGTGGAGTTGAATTGAGATATAATTGATACTTCTCCTTGGAAACTCATTTAGCCCAGAGGAGCACAGAAGCAATGGAGACACCTCTTATGGGACACTCTATTAGGGGAGTGGAGCAGATCAGTAACAGACATTTTTGCTGGGAAACTCCTTAGAAGAATGGAGCTGATCCCAGCTGTGATGGCTCTCTCTGTCAGAGAGGAACATTATTGTTACATCTAGTGGGGTGCCCTTCTCTTCACAACTGTAGGTGTTTCCTGACTTCAGGGTGTAAGGATACCTTTCCCTCTAGTACTATAACTTGTGCTATAAATAATAATAATAATATTGTAACCCTTTTAGATTTTATACTTCTCTTCAATTGCAAGGCATAAGTAATTCAGGTATAACCATGGATTGTACTCAGGTCTTTTTTGTTGTGATATAATCTCTATTTCAAATTATAAATGCATTTAATTTGTCCCTTGGTCCTAGAAGATAAAAGGATCACCATGAAAGTTCCATGGCAAAAATGGTCAGACCTGACAACTAAAGCAGTATCTTAAGAACTCACATCTTTAATCTCTTGCATGAAGCAGAGAGTGGGAACTGGAACTGGCGTATGGATGTAAATTCTCATAGCCTACCCTCAGTGACATATTTCCTTCTGTAGGACAGCTTGTCCTAAATCTTCCCAAATTATATCACCAGCTTAGAAGGATTAATTTCTCTTACTTCAATTTTAAATTTGCTTTCTTTTTACATAAACCAATTCATGCTGAAAGTTGTTTTAATTGTAATTATGTGATGCATGTGTGTGTCTCTGGGTATGTGAATTTTCATTCTGTATTCTGAGAAAATTAACACCTTGGATCTTGGAGAAGGAATTATGGGAAGCTCTTAAAAATCTGACCTTTGTCTTGCCCAGTTCCTGCAGTCATTATGTCCCAAAGAAAAATCACACAGAGTTCTACATAAGTTATAAACTGATTGACCCATTAGTTCAGGCTTCGTATTAGCTCTTATAAGTTATATTAACCTATTATTCTTATCTCTGTTAGCCACATGGCTCAGTACCTTTTTCAGCGGGGCAGGTCACATCCTGCTTCTTTGGCATCTGGACAGGACTCTGGAGGTATGGGCTTCCTCCTTCCCAGAATTCTCCTGTTCTCAGTGTCCTGCCTCTACTTCCTGTCTGGTTGTCCTACCTTTACTTCCTGCCTGGCTACTGGCCAATCAGCATTTATTTAAAACATAATTGACAGAATACAGAATTGTCCCCCACCAGGCCTTAATCCTAGGAATGAACATTTCTTCGTCACATAGCCATGACTCTAGCACTGTAAATATTTTTTTTTGTTTTTGGATTTTTTGAGACAGGGTTTCTCCGTAGCTTTTTGGTTCCTGTCCTGGAACTAGCTCTTGTAGACCAGGCTGGCCTCGAACTCACAGAGATCCGCCTGCCTCTGCCTCCCGAGTGCTGGGATTAAAGGCCCGGCTTCACTGTAAATATTTTAAATTTTATTTATATCACTTTGAAGTCTAAAATAGGAGCAAACTCATAAAGAAGAAATCCCTATTCATGAAAACAATTTGTTAATGACTTTAGACACCACAGTTGTCTCTAGCTACAAGAAAAATTATTTTTCATCATAGCCTTGAAGAAAGTATATTACATACCATATTCACTCCAGACTGATGGTGGAGATCATTCCATTCTGGTTTCTATTTTTAAACATTTGAGGTAGTCACTAAAGTGCTATATGTGTGGCCAATCCATTTAGTGAAGTTTATTTTGTAGACCTTATATTCCTTCTATGGCCTTTGTTCATCTTCTGTTGTGTTTGTACCTAATGACAGGTGTTATTCTGCTGTCATGTGTAGAATGTTGTCCCCATACTATAATTGTCCTATTTGTTATTGAAATATCAGGACATGTTTGATCATATTTTTTATGTAAGGGTAGTGGTTTGTTGTTCCTGGTTTTGATTTTTATCTTTTCACAAATACCCTTGAGATTTTGTTGTTTGTCATTTATTCTAGCTTGGATGTTAGTAATGATTCAGGGATACATTTAAACTCATGATGCTCATGTGTCTTGAGTATAAGTCCAAGGGTAGATGATGAACTTTCAATGTGTGTTATTTTTTCAAGAGAATTTAAGAATGTTAATGTTAAAATAACTGATAAAAGAAATTATAAGAAACACTAAATGCCTCATGTGTGTATTCAAAGAAGTATTTTTATTTATCTCATATAGATGTAATAAAGTACAATAATCAGCAATTAACTGTGTATCTAATACCATAGCTTGATGTTCTATAGGAATTGAGGTTAGGTTTGTAGTCTTGCACACAACAGTCCTTTCCCACTGAGCCAATTCACTGGTGCTCAAATTCCACTTGAAGAAATACTACAAAGGTAAAATTTGTTCATTTTGAGGAGTAGATATTTATTTATAACAGTTTCTCAGAACCAAAATTATACGGCATAGAATTGCCTCATTTAGTAAAGTTCATTGCTGCTAAGTCTGATGACCTGCGTTCAATCTCTGAGTTATGTACAATACTTTTACAAATTTTCTCAGATTTCTTCACTTCAGCAGTTGCACATACACACTCCTCCAAGAGCTCATTCTTGAATAATTTTTAAATCTAAAGAAGTGCCATTGAGGTCATTTTCAGCCAAATGACACCCTAGATTTAATCACTAGAACTCACAAAGAGAAAGTAGATCATAGACCCCTGTTAGTTTTCCTGTCAGTGCTACATACACATCATGGCACAGCTGTATTCACACAAACACTCTTCAAAGTTTTTTAAGTGGATGGAATTAACAACACAAAGAAAATAGCCCATTATTGAGAATATATAAAATTATTTGGCCACTTAAAGAATTTAAAGAAATATTACTATTCATCAAAACAATGATGTTCCCTTTTAAAACCTAGTTTAACATTTCTTTCTCTGATTCATGATAAGTCCTTTTAAAACACATATTTCTACTGGACTTAGATGTGTGTGCTATAATCACATCACATGGGAGGCTGGGTTGGACCGATCTCAGTGAGACCAGCTTGTTCCCCACAATACATTCCTGGCATCCATGGCTATGTGTGATGTGGGAGTGTCATATATCAATCTGTTGATTTCATTGGTTAAGCAATAAGAAACTGCTTGGCTGGCCCTCATAGGTTAAAACATAGGTAGGCGGAGTAAACAGAACAGAATTCTGGGAGAAAGAAGCTGAGTCAAGGAGTCACCATGATTCTCCCATTTCAGACAGATGCAGGTTAAGATCTTTCCTGGTAAGCCAGCTTGTGGGCTACAGCAGATTATTAGAAATGGGCTAGTCCAAGTGCGAGAGCTAGCCTAGAAGAAGCTAGATAGAAATGGGCCAAGCGGTGTTTAAAAGAATACAGTTTCGGTGTAATTATTTCTATTTCGGGTAAAGCTAGCCGTGTGGGCAGGTGTGGGCAGCCGGGTGCCGGGGATGCAGCCCGCTGCTAATACTACTACAGAGTGGCCCCAGACCTACAGCTTCCTCTTTCAACATATGTGGAGATATCTTATCTCAAAAATTCCAAAAGAAAATGCCTATGTCAAACTATGGAACTTTTCCCAATAAAATCTGGCTGGGCTCAGATTGATTTCAACCAACATTTTTTTTTTCAGGGTCAGGTTGAATGTTTATTCAGGGGGTTATGGAGGAGGAAGGGTGAAGGGGGGGACAGAGAGAGAGGGAGAGAGAGAGAAAGAGAGAGAGAGAGAGGAGGAGGAGGAGGAGAAAGAGACAGAAGGGGGGAAGCAGAGAAGTGGGGAGAGAGGCAGAAGCAAAGCTGCCTCTCCGAGAGGAAGATGGAAAAGAGCTCAACCAACATTTTTTATCTTTTTTTATTCACATAAAAATAACTGTGATAACAATAAAAATAAGCAACATAGGCCGGGCGATGGTGGCGCACGCCTTTAATCCCAGCACTCGGGAGGCAGAGGCAGGTGGATCTCTGTGAGTTCGAGACCAGCCTGGTC